ACATACACACACACACACACACACACACACACACACACACACACACACACACACACACACACACACACACACACACACACACACACACACACACACACACACACACACACACACACACACACACACACACACACACACACACACACACACACACACACACACACACACACACAAACTACAGGCCCACACACACACACACACACAAAAACTACAGGCCCACACACACACACACACACACAAAAACTACAGGCCCACACACACACACACACACAAAAACTACAGGCCCACGCAAGTGCGAGACGTACTCAGCATCAGGAGCTGGTTGATGGCTTCTTCCGATAGAATCAGTGGTGGGGCAGAAGGAGGGGGAGGTGGGGCGCTGTCGTTGCTGGTGGTAGCGCCACTGGCAGTGTTCCTGCAAAAGATGCATAAGAAAAGTGAAATAAGATGGGTGCTATCCTCATTCTTTCGCGCCGTCTGGAAGAAAATATCGTGCAACATCGAGGATGGACATCCCCTCGGGCACAAGCGCAGGCAATACGTACGGCTCGGCGGGTGGTGTCGGCAGCAAGTACAAGGGAATGGTGTATGGTTTGTGGGAAGGGTTGGGCCGGGTGTCATCTTCATTTTGGGGCTCTTGCGGCGACAGCATACCATGAGCTGCGTGCCAATCAAAGGGGATTTTGAGTTGACAGCGCTCAGCTTGTGTCTTGATCTCAAGGCTCGCCTGTCCGGGCTGTGGGCGTTGATCAAAATTCTCGACGCGCACAAGGCGAGGCTGACTCCAGTCACGCGCGGGCACCATTTTGTGCTCCTCACGAATGCGATGCTGGGTCTCGCTGTGATGCACATAGCATATGAGACTTTATCATGAAAACGAACGGGAGAGGGCCAAGGGAGGGGGTGTCATACCGCTCAGCCGATAGGTCCTGCCGCTGAAGCTGCGCAAATGATTCTGGGACAAATCACAAACAAAGTCGTAAGCGCAAAGCAGACAAAAATTGTCTTTTGTTTTTCCAAGAGGATGGCAAACCATGTCAGGAGAATGACGCGAGCCAAGTGTTGAACAGCAGGCACCTACTCTTTTTGTCAGTGCGCTCGGCTTCATCAAGCTCATAGTAGCGCACTTGAAGCAATGCCTCGCCTTCACGGAACCTGACCCGTTTCTTTGGGCGAGGGGGTGGCACGATGGGGGCCGAGCTAGGCGCTGAGACGGTAGTCGTCGCGGTCGTAGTTGCCACCGGTGGCGGTGCCGATGACTGGGAAGCCGTGTCATTCGGGTCCTCCGAACCAGGCGAGGCATTGCCAGGGCTGGCGGTGCTTGCTTGCTGGCGACGCAATCGCAGACGCTCCGAAACACTTCGTTCCGAGCCTTCATCCTCCACCAGTTGCGTCTATAAGGGCCATCCACGCTCCGTATCAGTAGGGCACTCCAAATGTTGCGGGTAACAGCGCAGTGGTGCAAAAAGAAAACCAAAGGCTACACAAGCTCGCTTCGATATCGACTAACCTGCGGTGCCTGCAGAACGGCGCGTTTCTTGGGCAGCGTGTTTGATGCTCTGTCGTGGCGCGATGCAGATGTAGGGCATGGTGTGATGAGTGAAATAAGCTGTGGCGGCAAAACGGGGCTGTCTGGGAATGAGTCGCCGGTCGTTGCTGCTTTACCGTCGAACAGGAGTGGTGCGTTTGCCTTGTCCGCCTGCGAGACGAGAGAGCAGAGGTTCATGAGTGAGAAAAAGACAGGGAGGTTAAAGGCGAAACCGAGGGTATGTCAGAGTTCGATGGACCGGGAGAGCGCACCCAGGAGTTGCTCTGAAAGTGAGTTAGACATGCGCGGGACGACTTCGGGTTTGGTCTCGACGCTTGGTCGGCGAGGTGGATTGCTTGCGCCTGAATCAAGGGAATCGTCGGAGGAACGCCGCTAAAGGGGAAAATAAACACAAAAAATGCCGCGGGCATATGCAATGGTGAGGCATTGAACGGTTTTTCGCGGCAAAAAAACGGGGCAGGCAAGTAGGCACAGCGGTCAACAGCCAAGTCAAGGGAGCGTACGCGGCTCGGTGATGCAGAGGCTGTAGTGGTGGTGGTGCTAGGCGGCGTGTTGGCAGTCGCAGGGGCGGGTGTTGTTGTGGCCGGACTAGGTGTGTTTGCTGTGGCTGAAGTGGGATTTGCCGTCACTCTGCGGGAAGGTGATGGTGATGGATTAGCAAAACGTGTCGGCACGTGCGGCAAACTCGGTTTATGACATGGCAAGGCACATACTTTGGGCGTTTGCTAGGTGGCACGGCTCTGTCGGCTGCATCAAATGGACGGCAGGCATATATGGAAAACATGTGACGTGAGCCATCAAGATGTGATGTCAAGTTTTGTTTGAGATTGTTGTTTTGTTTAAGCAGAGCTGCAGGGCGAACCGGGCTGGCTGGAAGAAGTGGTGGTCGCGGCTTTGACAGGTGCTGTTGACTTGGTCTGTTGCATGATAAAGGCTTTCCACTTGCTCACTAGGAGCTTGCCCTTTTTGGCCACATCTACACAAAGACAGCAAGTGCTGCATTAGCTCGAGCCGAACCAGGTGGGTGAATGGGCAAAGTGCCAATATGAGCGCACCGGGGTCCTTGATTTTGCTAGCTTCCCGGGCTCGCCGCCCCACTTCACCCTGTTGTAAAATCTCCACACTGACGGGCAGGACGAGCAATGTCTACGAAAGGGTAGGGTGGGATGTTTGTGGATGGAGATGAGTGAGAGACCTGGAATGCTGCAAGCAGTGCAGGGACTGGGGAGGAGCGGGCAAGGTCTTGGCCTTGGGGATGGTACCTCGAGAATATTGCGGAGAAGGGATAGGCGAGGTCCACTGATACACTTTTCCAGCCACGAGTCGAGTACTTTCCAGCCACCCTGGAGAAGAACGCTGGGTTGTGTTTACCAAAGAGCAATGCATGCACGATTAATGCATGCAACTAACGGGAAAGGGGAGCTGGGCAATGCAGGGACTTGATGTGAAAGGACCGCAGGCGTGCCAGCTTACCTTTTCGCTGCGGGCGTGTTCGACTGAGCTGTCAGTCGGAGGACGTGAAGAGCTGTTGCTTGCTCAAAGGCATTTTCTGGCGAAATGTTGCTCATAAATCTGGTAGTTGACCCCAGAAAAACATAGAGGAAGAGGAAAAGCATGCGTGCATCAGCGGGGCAGAGGATTGGCCGTGGGGGACGGACGTTGGGGCATCAAAGCCAAGCGGAAGCGTACTGGGCAAACTCGGTCGCGGCAGCAGAATCACGCAGAAAACCGGCCTCGGTCAGCAGCCCAGTCAGCTGGGCGTTGATGGCCCCTGACATGTTGCCCAGTCCGCTTGCGAGGGCGGGCGCACACGTCAAGCCTGATGAATGGAACGAGGCAGTCATCAGGATCATGGTGAGCCATTCGATGCTGAGGCAGGGAGAGAAAAAGGCAAGCATGATGATCACTCTGTCAGTGGAAGGTTGTAAATGTTCAAAAGTATGAATGTGCATTTGCAAATGCGTCGAGGGCAAGCATTCTCGAGCCACCACCATCCATCTCTTCCTGCCCCCACCACCATGACCATCAAGGCTGAGCCACCACCGGAGGTGTGAGGGGCGGAGAGAGAGAGAGAGAGAGAGAGAGAGAGAGAGAGAGAGAGCGCGCGCTTCACCGGTGATACGAAAGTGAAGCAAACATCACACAATGTCAGATCAAAACGATCACTTCACTGTGTTCGCTCTCTCAAAATTAGAATACCAAATGTTTAGCACGCTTCCTCTGTGTGTGTGTGTGTGTGTGTGTTGTGTGTGTGTGTGTGTGTGTGTGTGTGTGTGTGTAATGGCTCGAGGGCGCCACCCCCCTCTGCACACACTGCACGTTCCGGGGTGGTCAGAAGAGGAAAGAGCGGCGGCGTTGCGTTCTCTTGACCTGAACGCGTCGTTGCTCGCGAGAAGCACAAACTCGTTAAGCATAGACTTGACGATCGAGGCCTCCTGATAAGCCTTTTTTCGAATGCATGCAGCAAATGCAGGTCTGTTTACTCCTTTGCGGGAAGAAATGATGCGCCATCATCGCTTCCAACACAACCTTCCCACCAACACACAGAAGAAGAGAGGGGAGAGAGGGGAGAGAGGGGAGA